CTCTGAGTTTATTTTTGACATGAAAAATAAAGCTTCTCATGAAAAACCATCAGCCGTTCGCAGGCGGCTTAGTGTAAACTATAGGTCCCTCAATTAGTTGGAAAAACAACAAGACGCAAAACCACAAATAGGTGGAGGAGCTCGGCAGTAAGTCGCTTCAGTGGTTGCAAAGCGCCAATTATATATATAATATATAGAAAGTAAAACATTATTTTTGAATTAAATAGAGGTCCTTATTTACCATAGTTTGAGGCAACCGATTTATGTCAAATATATACCCTTTTATTCGATATTTTTTTGCCATCTCGAAGGTCTCTCTCATAGAACTACTTTTCCACAATAAATTTTCAAGGTTTCCCTTGCGTCCAATTTTTCACCAGGCAAATCATTCGCCATAGTAATCACAGAGAGTAATCACTTGATGCGAGGTCCGAGCTCTCGGAGCTACCGACGAAACACTAACGGCGTTTGTGAACTAGCATTGTACTGATGAAGCAGAGTAAAGGTCCGAATTAAGAGTGAATGATTCTCTTTCAATCCCACCAAATACACAACAAAACTTTTCTAGCCTTTCTGGCTTGGGTATCTTGTGTGCCCGCTTACCGTCCCTCAACCACGAACGTTTTCGTTTGACGTTGCTGTAAGTGATCTACTTTTCTTCATCAGTCACCTATCGCTTTAGAAATGGTTTTTTTTCGTTGCGATTCAACAGCGATACACAGATGGAAATACGGTCGATGAGGTTGCTTCACGTTAACTCAGTGGCACCCTTACATCGATATTCTTTGTCTACATACTCGTATACAGAGGCATCTATTGCGAAAATAATGGATATCTTATTCTAGTTGTTAGCTAAATTGGTAAGAGACATCATATCATGTCTTTAAGGATTTTTACTCCGTAAGGACATTCAGCGTTTATTTGTTAAACATTAAAACTAATGATGGTTTTTTTCATTTACATTCCAAAGTACCTTATTTAATTGCATTACAAGTACTTTAGAAGCAATCAACTTAATAATTATTTTCGTGAATTTGTCTAGTGACCATTAATCTGTTTTTATTGTCTCAACTTAACGTTGTTTTTGCTTTCTGCTAATTTCCATGTCACTACAAAGTGCTTTTCTTTGTAATATCTTGTTGTTTTTTTATTTCATGTTTCACAAGAATTCACTTTTCTAATAATTGCATTTACAACAACACCTCATAACCTCATCCGTGCTACATACACGTATGTACATATTTACTCGACTTCAAAATGCTGTTCTCTGCACATTAACGAGGTTTTGCTATTTTAATTTAGTTACTAGTGCAGTTTGCAAACTCAACGAGAAACACCAAGTCAGACGAAATGGACGCGTAAAACCAAATTAGCATTAACCCGAACCCTCCATCTGCCGCGGGGCCGAGGAACCAGCACTCGTACCCGCTCGTACCCTCAATAAATACCAGCAAACAAATCTCCATTTAAAGCAAACGCTTAGAACAAATCGTTGCTATCCGTGTACAGTGTACAATCTATGGACCAACAAGCAAACCAAATCAATCACAACGAACGGAATCACAAAGAGCAAAGAAAGGAAAAATTGAAAAAAAAAACAAAATATTAAATAGACGTTGGTAATATTTCTGGCACTTGTATGTATGTATGTATGTATGTATGCATGTACGAGTATGTATTTAAGCGGCAAGTTGTTGTAATGAGCGCAATACGTCAAACGTTCCGCCATTGACTTCAGTTCAGAGTTGAGTTTGGCGCACACAAGCTAGCAGCGGATTGAAGGACATTTACTTCGCAGATTATTGTTTGTGGATCCAAACTGATTGACTGAGCACGTCTACATGACAAATTGATATACCGAGAAGACGTTTGTTTGACGAAATGCGCATACTTAAGAGAACTCTATATTTACATACATATATGTAACACTCATCTACTGCAAATCTACACTTCCTCGCACACTCACCAAGATTCAGTAGAATTTTAGTGAAATTCAATAAAAAAAATTAAATAAATAAATAAATGAATAAAATACGCAATTAGAAACAAAAAATGGTTACAAAAAATTCTCTAGCTTCCCCAACCATCTCCGAAAGCTGGTGTGCTATGTGCGTAAGTGCCAAGCGATGTGTACCAAACGAAGTTAAATATCGAGCACATTCATTCGTGCGTGCTCTTACGCACTTTGTGTTATATTTATGTTTAGACAAATATTCGTGTCGTGCCATATTTCTCCATATGTTCGTTTTTGCAAATTTCCAGCGTTGCGACTAGACAACCTGATGCGACCATTTCCAGTCCAGCGTTCCAAAGACTAGGAGTGTTTTTCACCGCACATGCGCTGTTGCCAAGAGTTTAGTGAGAGCGTTGGGTATTATTATATCGAGCAGTGTTTTCTCAGCGAGTAATATCTGCTTTGCTATTTAGCACTGTGACAAACAATCTTCCCCTCTCTCTCTCTCTCTCTCTCTCTCTCTCTCCTTTTAAGCGCGTACAGAGTTGCCTACACAACGCTCGTTGGGCAACCCTTTTTGAGGCGGCACTTTTGAGCTCATTTGTAGTCATTATCTGCTCTAGACTTCTTTGAAGAATTGCCCTTATTTTTTTTATTGAAGATACAGGCAATCGAAGAATTAGTATCCTGTGCAGTTCAAAAGCAAGCCTTCAGATGGTTTCGGTTCCGCCAACAGACCTTTAGGCTACAAAATCCATCAGTTTAAGTGACTTCTGGACGATAAGAGGTCTGAATTCGCTCCATCACATGCAGGAGTTGGAGTGATTCTGGCAGCACAGCACATTTACTGACCCTCTGTGCATCGCGGAATCTTCTAAACCATCGCTGATTTAACATAAGTTTCGCAAATTAAAATCATAACCTGCGTCACTTGCTAGGGTTGTTGTAATTCTGGTAACGCGAAGGGCTTCCTTGACGTACTCAGATGCGCTCTCTCTCACAAAAAGCATTGTCACGTCGTCTGAAACCACCTAAACCTTCTTTTAATTCAAACAAGTTACACGTGTCGCAATCAAAGCCTTGCTAGGGTTGTTTCTGGTTGCGCAAGAACTTTCCTGGACCTACGAAGATTCGCTTGTCGCTTTGTTCGGGATATCATACACTCAACGTGCTTGGAGTCTGCTTTACTGGCTCGGGCAGAACTTACGCGCTTATAACCGAGTTAAGAAGAGCGCAGCATTCCAGGTACTTCTCTACTTGGTTTTCCAACAGAGTCGAGGCATTCTTCCTTCTTTGCATCGAATACTTTCAAAGCTTAAGCGTTCTCAGTCATCTAGACAACAGGACTTGGTCAGCGATGCCGCTGTTTCGTTACTCGCTGAACTATGTCTGTGTCATCATATAACTCGTACAGACCATCCTACTACCATCCATCCGTTACCATTGCGCAGAAGACCATAGTTGGTTCGCCAAACTTTTCTCTCAAAGACTCCCAGAGCCGACTCACTGTATATCACAGTCAAGGCCTCCGCATCATATAGTAGGACGGACGGAATTGAGTCCTTGTGCGTCGAGAGATGAACCTGTTAGCAGGAGGTTGAGTTCCATGGCTGAGATTGTTGTTGGTTTTGAAGCGAAATTAGTCTGACCTATTCAAAATTACATCACAGGCTGCAAGATGCTTGCCTGCTGATAATGACAGACTCGGTGTAAGGTTAGACCTCTATTTTTTATCACTTGTAAACACTAAGTAGAACACAAGTGAGTTCATCGCTTCCTTACAAGCACTATCCTCAGTCTTATTGTAATATTCAACTTAGTTCTAGACTGAGGACTCAGCAGAAGACTCCTTTCCAGCTTTCCCTGGAGCTGCATAGCATTACTTCGGAGCCATATTTTGTAGGTCGTTAACCTGAAAGATGCATAGCGGAAAAGAGGCGACGTCTTAAAAAGGACTTTAGCCAAGGATTCAATTATTGTCTCGGGTAGGATGCAGTAGAAACCTTAAATTTCTCAAGAAGAAAAGGCTTTTGAGTCAAAGAAAAACATGCGAGCTCCCTCCAGCCTTTGGGATACCAAATAATTTGGCTTCAAACAGTCAAGATGCAATTAGGGTTGCGTGTATTTAATCTCAATTTGACGACGAGCACTCGATCCACGAAAATTAGTCCAAAAGGAGTTATAATTGTTATCATAAAATCAAAGCAACTCTCAGCGATAAGAGTAAGAAGTATCAGCTGCAGAGCTTCAACGAAAGTATCTCTTCTTGCGCTTGTAGTTTCTAGTCTTGTAAAATACTCACTCAGGAGATTTTTTGGTTCTGCGGCTCCTATTGAAAAGGGAGGCTTTGAGATTTTAGATTAAAAAAAATACACCAATTCACAAAAGAAGTTCTTCAGATTCGTAACGGCAGAGTCGAAATCTTTCGACCATTTGCGCCACTATCTATGGCTCGAAGAGCACTTAGCTACCTTCATTCCAGCTCGGCAACTAAAGAAACTGCCCATCCTCCGGCTTATGCATATCCGTCTTATTGTCTTTCCAACACCTGTAGAATAGCAATTTAGTTTTTGGCAATCTTGAAAGTTCCTCAGTCATCCCTAAGTATTATACAAAGAACTGGCTAACTTCTGCACTTAAGTTTTGCAAACCCTGCGCGAGTTGGTCATACATTGAAGAGAATGATTTCTGTCACTTTATATGGAATTCTCGTTATTTTTCAAATTCCAATTTTCAATTTTCCAACGTCAAATAACTCTGCTCGGTAAGGGAGACAGATCAACGTGCGGAACGCCGTTCAAACAAGTTGAACATAGAGAAACGTATGTATATTGTAGATATGTATATGTATGCATATATGTAGTTATGTATACATAGGTATATATGTTGGTGCGTATAACTCGCTGCCACTCAACAAACTCAAATTGACTCGCCTCGACTCTAGGGGCTGTTTATGAGGCGGAAATTTGCAACTGTCGGTTGATATGTATGCACATTTGTACATATGTAAGTATGTTTATTACAGTTCTGCTATTTTTCAACGCCATTTACGTCGGTTGTTTATACTAATATTTATTTGTAGTTGTGAATTTCCATTGAGTAATCGCAGAAAATGTGAAAATGTATGTACACGTATGTACTAAGCGTTGAATGTTTTCTCTCACTTATTTATTTTATTTTCCCTATCGTTTAGTCCAACGGCCAACAGGCGTGTTGTACTTGCCTTCGTGTCTTCTCGTCTCTCGTCTGCTTTCAGTTCGTTCATGCGCTTTCGCTTGATGACTTCTTAACACACAAACCCAAGCAGTCCACATACTGACAGCCAAGTGTTTGAGGGTTCCGTATACGCACTGTTAAACAACTAAACAGCCTAGCTGGCTAGCTAACCTGCCTCCTCGGCTGCTTGCTGGACAGCTTGCTGGCTGTGGCTGATTGCTTTGCTCCTGTGCCTGTTAAAGAGAATTTTCCACTTGTCTGTTAAGTGTCTGTTGGTAGTGCCTGTCGAACGAATAGGGCGGCTCCGCACAAATGCTGCTGCTAACACTACTCGCCGTCTCGCTGCTGCTGCTGCTGCTGCTGCGGCGGCGGCTGCTGCTGCTATTCTATCGTTTAACGAAATATACAATTTTCACTTCGTTCTCGGTCAATCGCTCGCTGTCAATTTAGTGTGAAGCGTGTGTGACGATGTTGGAAAAATTCTGAAATCTCCAGCAAAAAGTGTAGCAATGTGAAAGAATTTATGGAAAAGAAATAAGAAAAAATAAAAAAATTAAATTTGTAATAACAAAAAGGTTGGCATAATTTCAAAGGGAATTCAAAAAAGAAAAAATGAATTAAATCGCATAAAAAGTAATTATTTGTGAAACTTACAAAGCGATATGTGATTTTTACGCTTACCTCTGTGTTTGTGCGTGTGTGCGCAAATATGTGTAGGCTGTGTATATCCTTTTGAGGCAGAATTTTGTGAAATCAACTGAGACTAATATTCATTCAAAAGAGATACGCAAAAAAAAATCAAAAATATTTATGAAAAAAATAAATTTGTGCAAAATAGTTTTATATACAGATGTTTTTAACAGTACCATAATTTTTTTTTTTTTACATTACAAATTCTCTATACGCGTTATGTACGAGTGATTCATGATTTGTGGAAAATTATAGAGTGTCATTGTGCTGCTGCTGCTGTTTGTACTTACTTGGAGCTGGAGCACGTAATGCTGTGCGCCACCCAAGTGCTCAACCTGCCAAAGAAAAAGCAAAAAAAAAAAATTAAATAAACTCGTTTCCAACCACGCACACACACTCACACACTCGTAGCTGTAGTACTCGCCAACTCGTTCTACTCTACGAGACCCTTAAACTTGCTATTTACTCGCTGCCACTTCCTCCCTTACTCATTCGCTCACTCGCTCACTCACTCACTCACTACTACCCACTCGCATGCACTTCGCACTCCTTCAATTCAACTTATGGCTAGCCAGTCAGTCAGTCAGAGAAGTGAGACCACGGTTCAGAGTTAGTCAATGAGGAGTGGCGTATAAGGAGTAAAGAAAAAATATAAAATAAAAAATATTCACATATGTTTTGTATGTGTACGTGAGGAGTGTTTTGTGAAGATTGTGAAAGATAAAAGATTATATTTTTTAAATTAATTTTTAAACGTTAGAGCGGAGAAATTATTCTTTAAGGACATTAAAATACATTCAAAAACGTAGTTTCAAAAGATACTTTGATACTGAGTGATCCAAACTATTCCAGTTAAACTTGAATAGCTTAGAAAAACGTTGAATTGATTTTGAATCGCTGACATACCTTAAAATGCTTCAAGCAAAACTCACAAAATCGCATATTTCTCAAAGTAACAAAAAGAGGAGCGAAAGTTTACTAACGTCTTTCTTTCCTTCTTGATTCGCGCATTTATTTCCATAATTCGGTTTAGCGAGACGTAAAAGAAAAAAAAATACTTGACGTTGTACTTAATGCTGTTTACCAAAGGCTAAGTATTAGCGGAGTTTCAAACCAACATCACTCTTTTTCAGAGAGTGACTTCGCTTAAATAAATTCTCTCAGCGTTATTGCGCGGTGATATTCTCATCGGCAGAGAATTTCAAGCCCTCCGTGTGTATTTCTGACATAAAAGCTGCTCATAAGAGTCCAAATCCATCGAGACGCATACCACAGATTAGAGTTGAAGGCCGGTCGAAAAATGGCTTCATCGTTTAAAAGTGTCAATTATTTATACACCTATATTCTTTTCATCTTTTTCCCGCTTGATGGTATCAAAAATATTAATTCCAAAGATCTGATTTTGAAAATCTTATTATATATCATCCGATTTATCTTCCATTTTGCTACAAACCAGCCGAACAAGAAAGCGAAACATAGACGAATTTACTCATGAATTGCCTGTTGTAGTACAGATTTTTAATTTTCTTTCTAGTATCTCTCTTCATACTTCCCCTTTCGAACGGGTATAACAAAAAATTTCCTTTATTGCTCTGCTTATGATTTTATGTAAGCGTTCTCTTGCTCAGAGCGAGTTGTGCGAGGAGACTTTTAATTTTTAAAGAATATATATATATATATATATTTCTCTACATATGTTGCCGCTTTCAAAATAGTACATATTGGAAAAAAAGCCACCGCATCTTCCAATCCCCGCAACACTTCTCAAACACGATCGTTAAGATAGTCTTTGGTGCTTTAAGCAAAGCGATTTTAGTGTCATCTAAAACGTTGGGCTCTCCCTTAAGGTTCTCTTTCTTTTTGGTAGGAAAAATGCAGGCGAGTATTGACCAAAATAAATATAAAAGTCTTGAACTGTCTTTCCACAAATTCGGGAGGGTTCTTTTTGGGTTACTTCAAGCAAATTACGTTGAGCATGAAGATAGTTTTCCTGATCGCAGGACATCATGATGCACTATTCCACTACAAAGTCTAAGAAAAGAACCTTCACGGCTGCACTTATCCAGCTTTGTCTCGGTCTTGGCGTGCCATAGAAATACTCCGAATGCGTTGATCGAATTATAGTTTAGATTTGTTCATGTTCGTTCACCTTTTATAATTCGTTTCAGTAATTCTGCATCGTCGTCCTTGACTTCATTTATGGACTCCAGAGCAATTTCCACTAGCCGCTGTTTTTGTTCAATAATTCAACCTTTCTTTCTGCTAAGTCTTTCATACTGAAATCATTGGAAAACAATTTCGGACATTATCAAATTGATTTGCCAATATCATCAGCGACTTCTCCCAAGTGTTGTTGGGCGATCGTTTGTAAGAGTTTCATTCACATTTTCTACGTTTCTATTGGTTGTGGATGTGCTGAGGCCTTCAGAGCTTTCGTCATCTTCAGAGTTTTCACGGCCTTCTTTTAATAGCCTGTACCACTCGCAATACGCCTTTGCTAATATTTTACACATTATTTTGCATTTTCCCTCTTTCTATGCAAAATTTCTTACAAATTTTAGGAGCTGTAAAAAAATGTGGTTTTTTAAACAATTTTTGCGAGGAAACTTTTAGCTTTATTATCATATTTTGAGCATTTGTTACACCCATTATATATATTCTAAGCCACCTCCGAACGGCCATTGGTATTTAATGTGTAACTTTTTAGTTTATGCGAGAAATACATACACTAAGAGTGCTTGGCGTTCTCCAATGAGGAGCGATCGGAATCAAATTTCAATAATATTTTATCATGTTAACCACTGGGCTATTGCGGTCGCCACATTTTATTTCCAGCAAAATTGTGTTTTTGTAATGTTTAAAAAAAAAAAATTATAGTTCTCCCATATTGCCCCGGAGTGTGTCATCGCACCAAAAAGCTTTTTTAAAGGATTAGCAAATCATCAGAGAACTACATCCAGCAGAGTTTCAAACCTTTCTCGCTCGCTGGATTTTAATATCTTCTTTATTTATACAATAATTAGCAGATTTAAAAACTTCTTCTACTCAGTTGATCTTCCGCTTGCCTTTCGAATATTTCTCTTTATGACTCAACGCGCGAAAATGTAATGCTTCTACTATTTCCATTCCAAAAAACAATATCTCTTACCAAAATTATTTCGAGTGTCTTTTATAAATATCCATTTTACTTTTCTTTCATTTGTAAACATACTCAATTGTTGTCTCTTCATATTTAATACAGGCTTCTTTAGCAATTAGCAAATATCTACAAATTATTTTTGGCTAAACCACATTATATACAGTAGAGATATCGCATTGAGTTTTATACGCCGATTCAATCAAAATTTATTTTAATTCCACCTTTTCTCTCTTACGCTTTATGCTCTTAGAGCGAGCAATAATATATTATTTATTCTAGAAGAATTTGTTTCTTAACCTCTGTCTATGATAAGGAATCAGTCATATAATATAAAGTAGTTTTGCCAAAAAAAATAGAGAATAAATATACTTTAATTTTCTCTCACACACACACTCTCTCTCTCTCCCGCTCTCTATTTGTTCCACTCCTCGCTGAAAACTTGAACCATCGACGTCTTCCAATCGTTTTACTTTTGATGTTTTGCTTATTCCCAGCGTACAATCCTCATCTTCCTCTTCTCTCTTTTTCTCACTCTGCCTCTCCTGTGCGTAACATGCGATTGCTTATAACAATTCGTTCGTTCGTTCGTTTGTTTAATATTCACTCGTATGTACCGTTAATTACTAGTACACGGTTGCACGGCAACCTGTACGCACACACATACATATATACACATATAATTTGACATGAACGAGTACGAGTTGTGTATATTGCGTTGCGCTGCTATTCATCTATTCTCTTTTAAAAGTAAAAAAAAATCAACCCTGTTTATACTTCGATTCCTATTTATGTTATGTTTGTTTGCGCGGTATATGTATGAGTAGAGTAGGTAACCTTCACGCTGAAAGAACGATGACCAGAGCAATACGAGTAGTTGGCGAGTGAGCAATGCAATTGATGATTATACATTTTTTTTTTCTTCGCGCTGCGGTTAACGGTAATAGCTGTTGCATTTAGTGAAGATAAAATGTGAGGGAGTTGTGATTTAATGAACTTCGTTGGAATTTATAATATACATATACATACCTATGCGCGCTGAGGTGTTTGAGAAAAAATATGAAGTGTACGCCTGTTGTGAAGGAATTTCATTCGTTTTTTTTTCTGTTTATTTTGCTTAAAGTTGTGGTGTTTTTTGTAATAATTAATTGAGAAAATTCATTATTATTTAATTTTTATCATTTGTTTTATTATAACTTCATTTAATTTTGTCTTACTTCTTCCTTATTTTATATATTTATTTTTATTTGTTTAATTTTTTTATTTTATTTTTATTGTTTTCTTAAACATTTCTTATTTTTAATTAAATTAAATTTTTTCACCTCTTATTTATTTTATTTTGTTTTAATTTTTTTGTATTATTTAATGTATATTCAATAAAATTATGCGCCACATTATATTTTCTACCACCAGCGTCTGTTTTTACATAGTAAAAGCATAAAAAATTTAAACGTTAATTTATAAAAAAAACTGTTATTTTAAGCCGTATTTGCAGTCAACTAAAATTTACAGTGTTTTATGAATAACAAGTAACAACAAAGTAAAATTAACAAAGTTTACCCAGCACCCGTGACTTACTAGAGCAAATTGTGAAAGAAAAAAAGTAATAAACACAAATAAGCAAAACATTTCGGAAAAAAAGATATTAAATGAAAACCGATTGAAAAATAACACAATTTGTGTAGTGTGCTTTTAGGCGTATGCAATCTAATTGCATTCAATATATATTTGCATATATATATATATATAGAAATAGTTTCCTGTTGTATTGTGTTTTCGGCCGCTCACGGCCGAATTTAAACGACCTTCAAAACGTTTTGCGTAGAAGCAATTCGCACCATGGGCTGCGCACAGTCTGCCGAGGAGAGGGCTGCAGCCGCTAGAAGTCGATTGATTGAAAGGAATCTCAAAGAGGATGGCATACAGGCGGCAAAAGATATTAAATTGCTGCTATTAGGTGAGTTTTATATATGTACATACATATACTTATGTATATGTCGCGCGTAACGGAAAAATCTAAAGACGAATCGTACGAAAAGTGTGAAGAATATAAAATAATAAATGAAATAAATAAAAGGCTTAAAATAAAAAGCTAAAATAATATAAGATATATTAAAATAAAATCTGAAACATTAAGCAATTAAATTAAGTGAATTAAATCAAATTTATTAAAATTAAATAAAAAATAAACAAAGTTACAGAAACATAATAAAATAAAGAAAAATTGAATTAAAATAAATAAAGAAAAAAATAGTATAAAATTATTTAAATAAAATTAAAACAAAATAATATAAAAAATAAGGTAATAAATAAGTAATAATATAAAGTAAAACGAAATAAGTAAGTAAAAAAAAGAAAATGAAAATAAAAATTTTTAATGAAATAAAAATGAAATAATACTAAATCAAATCAAATAAGAAAATGAAAAACTATATGAAATAAAATAAAGAAAAACAAAAATTAGTATAAAATCAGTTGGAAATAATATAAAATAAAAAACATAATGAAATTAAATAAAACAACAACGAGAATTAAAATTTTAAGTAGATAGAATAATATAGTAAAAATAAAGCGAAATAAAACAAGGAAAAATATTATGAAATAAAATAAAATAAAATGACGCATAATTAAATAAAAAAAATTAAATAATGAGCTGAAGGATAAAAACAAAATTAGAGTTGAAATAAAATAATTTAAGGTAAAGTAAAATAAATTAAAAGAAAATTTAAAAAAATTAAAAAAAAAAAATTAAAAAAAAAATTTAAAAAAATTTAAAACAAAATTAAAATTTTAAATAAATAATATAAAATAAAATTATAAAGTTACATTTAGTGGAAATAATTAAAAAAAAAGATATTAAATCAAAATAGAATAACTTATCATAATTTAATTAATGTAAAATAATTTCAAATTTACTAAAACTGCATAAAGAATAAATCAAATTAAAAATAAGTAAAATAAATAAGTAAAAAGATGTGCAATAAATTAATGTAAAATAAAAGATAATATAAATATAATAATTTTTTTTTTGCGGGTGAGGTAAGAAAAATGCCTTTCGCATCATCATTGTGTCGTCACATCAATGGTATGTGCCACTTGCAAGTAACCGTCGCCCACCCTGGAATCGCATTCGCATTACTTCAGAGTGGCGTTCCATTTTTCTTATAGTGAGATTATATCTCGTCACCAGCGTCCAGGACCCGCTTTTTCGCTCTTAGTAGTTATAATAATTTAATAATAATAATAATAATGATAATAATAATATAATAAATATAATAAATATAATAATAATAATAATAATAATAATAATAATAATAATAATAATAATAATAATAATAAGAATAATAATAATTATAATAATATAAAAATAATAATAATAATAATAATAATAATAATAATAAGAGTAATAATTATAATAATAATAATATAATAATATCATTATAATAATAAAATTAAAACAAAGAGCAACCAAACTTTAATTAAATAAAAACGTGTAGAAATGAAAATAAACTGAAAAAGCAAGTTATGATTAAAAAATAATTTTTGAATAATCAATTGCTTAGGGTATTACAGCCGTACGAATTCTAATAACTTCTTTTTACTGATAATTTATACAAATAACATAACAATTCATGTACTTAGCTCAAAATTGGTGTGGTTGTGACCCATAAAGGATCTTCTCAATAATTGTCGCTCCAAGAGATGCTAAAAAAACTCGTAAAATTTTCAAAAATGGAAAACTGTGCGTACAAAAAAACGTTCTCATTGCGTTTGTATTGAAAATATGAAATTTTACATACATATAGCTCTAAAGTCAGTGCTTCTACATACGCATATATTCATTTTCACCATTTCATCATAATAATAATAGCTACGTGATACTATACCAAACATATCAAGCTAAATTAAACAGTTGTAAAATTACCTTTTGTATGCACAAAGCAACTGGGTTTACTCGCCTGAAAGTATGTTTCGATACTTTTTTTCCAACCATTCCAATGTTTGTATTGTTGTATATTCGATTGTAGATTTTATGTCATCAAATAACATAAAGAGAATGTTAAACTAAATGTGCATAAATATATATGTAATAAATCTACTCAACAAAACTAATATTCAATTTGTACTCATATTTAATAATTAATTACATTTCCATTACCCAAGCTTTATAAATATATAATTAGTAATCAAAAGTTCTTAGCAACATTTGGTTGTTTGGTTGCCGAAAAAGCGGAAGTGTTGTACAAAAAGAAAAAAAAATTACAAAAAAATTAAGGGCAATAAAGTTCAAAAAGTGACTGATAAAAAATATATAGAAGAATAAAACTAAAATAAAAATATCGCGTAAATATATTATTCCTCTTGCCTTACCGACATGTGATATAATTAATTGCAAAATAGCGTTTTTGTATTTATTGCGTGTATGTATGACTCATGACCTCTTTTTGTTTATTTCATGATTTCTATTTATTTGTTTTTGGGCGCGTTTGAGTGTTTATTTGTTTTACTATGTATGTATGTATGTACGTTCTTCTCATCCATTGCAGTTAAAGTTTTATTTGCTTCATTTAAAAAATTTGATCATTTCTGCAAATCAAATAAGCCGTTGCGACAAAAGAAACCAAAAAAAGAGAAATATTGGGTTGCCCAAAAAGTAATTGCGGATTTTTTAAAAGAAAGTAAATGCATTTTTAATNATTTCACTTTTTAACATGTTTGTTGGCTACAGCTTAGTATGGTTTCAGATTATTATTAGAAATTTTTTAACGCCGAACGTCGAACACAGCGCGTGGACGTTCTAGTGGATAGCCGTGGCGTATGAGTGATATTTTTCTTAAACAAATTTTTACCTGATAAATGTTTTTTTATTGAGTTTGATATTATGCTAAGCTTGTTTATGTTAATTACTATAAATTGGTGAGCTGTAAAAAAATTATAATTAAATAATTTAAAGAAATTTTTTGTGAGAAAAAATTTTAATCAGCAAAAGCTTTATAATTAATCAAAATCGAATCAAAAATATTATGCAAAAAATAGCTTTCTTTAAATTCGTTTAATGAAATGCAGTCCTTTCACCATGAGTTGAGTTCCTGCGGCTGCTAGTCATTATCAGCCATTGGGTTACCGCTGTGAGGTTCCTTCTCTCGCTAGTTCGTCCGCCAAGTAATCGCTTGGTTTGCCAGTGTGTCCGTGTTGCACGGCAGTGTTGCATTTAGACGAGGGGTCGCTAGATTGCTTCTCTCTTTTATAGCCACCCTTGACATTGTAGAGATCTAATGGCAACCACTCGGCGACTTCCATGCTTGCAAAGTATTCTGCTTAGAAAACGCTGCAGTGGTCAGGTAGTATGAGGCTCATAGTTATTGAGTGCATCGGAGAGTAGATTACGCAGCACACTTTATCATCGAGCAGTATGTAGAGCAGGCTATGGCTCCCTGGTCAGGGTCGTTGATGTTTTTCCAACCATTTCCGTTCGGGATTACCGTGGAAAAAAGATTGTTGAAGCACATACTGGAGGTCGTGTTGTTCAACTCCTTCGGCACTTCTGTAAGAGATTATATTTTAACGTGTCATATACTGCAGATGTTTCAAAGTTGGGTTGCTTGTCTGCCATATTATACTAGTTACATTGCACTAACTGAGACTATTTCATCTTGAGTCAGCGTGTCCAAAATTTTTGATGATGGCGCAAGTCCGTCCCTACATATATTTATGTTTATATTAACCCATGAAAAGAGCTATCTATGTTCCAAATAGCAGGAAAATCGAGTCCTAAATTGTGTATTTTCGAATAAACCGGGTCCCTAACCCAGTCTCCGGGTGAAAAACTGTTTCGCATGTCAATCTACGCAAGGGGCTGCCCCTGAACCAAATTTCATGTAAATCGAAGGATATAAAATAAATTTCAATTTTTGAAGTTACAGTTGATCTCCAACGGCGCGAAATAAAGGTCCTTCACTGCTGCAGTGATTCCGGACTTCTCCGTGGATGAAATCTAAAAAAAAATTCTCTACTAGATAATATTGTCTGTACAATGACCTACGATAAAAAGAAAATCCAAAATTGACAATATGGCGGCGTTTAAAAAAAATAATTTAAATAATAATTAAATAATAATTTTACCCAAAATTTTGGTCGTTTTTGGCCTGCCAAAATTTTATTTTTTGATCAGATCAAAACTCGATAGGTCATTGTACGGAGAACTATATATAGAACAAGTAAAAAAAATCGATAGTGATCGGATCATTTGTTTTTGAGTAATCACTGCAGCAAATTCGGAAAATGCAGTTACGAGAAAAACGCGTTTAAAGATAAAATACCTCAGGTACGTCTCGTAGCTAATGAGACTCTCTAGCTGCCGAGCGGCTGCTCTTTAAATTGCTATAACTCAAAAACTATATGAGATATCGATTTGAAATTTTAATATGTTATTTTTAAAGGTGTAATCTACCGAAATATGAAAAAAAGAATTAAAATAAAAACTGCATATCGTAACAACAACAACAACAACAGAAACTACATATATATTATTGGTTGCCTTATATTTATATTTAAAAATTAAACGAAATAAAACATGGCACTTGTTTTTCTCCCTCTCATGAGAAACTGACATGAAAAAGGCGTCGTGGTTGATGGGAAAAATTGACACGCTGCGCATAAAAAAAAAAAATTACGCCGTGTATTTTTCCTTCTCCAGATTTTCAATGCAAATTTCCTATACCCATACATATACGATAATATTATGTAATCCAGGTCAACTGAATATTATTATTAACACAACAAAAACAAATGAACATTCAAAAGTCAACATTATTGAACACACACACACACATACATGCGTTCGCACTTAATTTACAGCTACTTCTTTTCATGGATATGTGAAAATTTTGCATTTTCCACATACGTACAATCAAAACAAATCGTTTAAAAATGTTTCTTAATGCCAACATACGCAAT